TACTCATCACACAGAAGATAAATACAGTGCAACAAGTCACAGGATAATTTATTGCAGAAAAGTTGTTATTGGTCCATCTTGGCTCTGCTTGCTCTTTGAAAGAGCTATCCAAGTACTCCAACCCCAACCTTGCTCAGCTCCAATAAGCCTGCAATAATATTCCACTTCCAGACCTTGATCCATTCTGAAAGTTAGGAAATTGAATTACCAGGGAAAGAAATTCTAGCCTGTGATCTGCAAAGTTCCATAAATTATCTTCAAATTCCAGCAGTAAAGTATTTGGCTTATTTAGTTACCAAAGGACCAATAGCACTTCCAAAATTCCTTTGGATCAAGGAATATCTCCAAGCTCTGACAAAGCAAGTTGTCAGTTGGCTACAGAATAAATAGTGGACAGGAGGTGGGAAGATGAAAAATTAAATGGAGGGGGATACAAGGCGACATTGACATCTTTTCTAAACCAGGTATTAAGAGGCAGACTTAGTTGTTGAGTTTCCAGCAGCACTCTAGCAATTTAATCACCTGTATTTTGTGAGCAAACCTAGGGGAAATCCAAGCAGCGCACACAAAGGAACAAAATATTACAATAAAAACCAACAAAACTACGGAGGCTGAAAAATCAGAAACAAAAACAGAAATTACTGGAAAAGCTCAGCAAGTCCGACAACGTCTGTGGAGTGAAATCAGAGTTAACGTTGAGTCCAGTGACCCTTCCTCAGAATTTTTCATCCTCCAACCACCCGCCCATTATTTATTCTGTACCAATTGACAACTTCCTTTGTTGGAGCCGCAGGGTCACATGACCCAAAATGTTAACAATATTACAATGTTTTGCTCCTTTTCCATAGAACGCTTTCAATTATGTTGCAAAAATATTAGAGGGGGGGAGAATGGCACTTGAAAGCAGGAAGCCATGTGACAATACCTCAAGGAACATGTCCTGCCAGAGTTGGCAACATTTAGTTGTGTAACTAACTCCATTTATGTACTATGACAAAATAAGAACCATACAAATTGATAATTACGGGTGGTACAAAAATACATGCGCAGTATTTGACCTCCATTGAATAATCAGCGATGATTGAATCAGTTTAACAGACAGAAAAGCTGTGCAATAATGGCGGAGTAATTAACTTGAGTTACAATAGGCTTTGTTTTGCAAATACTTAGCTCCCAAAACTCTCATTACCAATAGCTTGCCAAATAGAATCGGGTTTCCTTTCAATCACAACTGTTAAAGTTCAACCACTGTATTAACCCGTTCCTACCCAGAGGTTTGAATAATTCCCACATTCAGTTCAAATTCCTATTTTGTGGCCCAGTTTGGCTTTGGGATTTTCATGAGTTGACGTGCGGTTATAGATCATTTCATATTGTTTGTGCCCACAGGTACTTCAAAAGACCAGAATGAGATACCAATGAAGAGGAGAAAGAAGTGCTTACAGACAACTTGGCACCTTCATGGAACAGCTGTGTGCACTCTTTCTTTACACTGCTTGCCAACTTGTCCAGTGACCACCCAGAATTTGTGCATATTGATAACATACACGGATCTGTACCAGATGCTTACGTGCACCTTTTAATATCACACCACTTATGCTACATTTCTTTCCATGTCACATCCTCAAACGCATGATGTTACAGTTGTTTGCTTTGAAAACTATGATTCTACCCTTTTAACCATTCTCTCGCTGTTATCCTAAATCCTGTAGCTATCTTCATCACTATCTACCGCTTGCTAAGTTTTGCAGTATCTGCAAATTTATAATGTTTCTTGCTACATCCAGGTCTAGGCCATATATACAAACTCCAAAGAGTAACGGACCTAAAACTGGCCAAGGGATCACTGGATGGCAAGCTTGCAATGCAGAGTAACACCAACGGCAAGGGTTCAATTCCCACACTGGCTGAGGTTACCATGAAGGGCTGTCTCAACCTCTCCCCATGCCCGAGGCAGCGTGACCCTCAGGTTAAACATCTCTTTCTATGGCAGAACTGCCTATGGTCTTGTGGCACTACGGCAAATTCACTTTACACTGCAAACAACTTTCCAATTGGAGAAACAGCAAACACCACCTTGTACTGCTGTATACTAACCTAAAGGTCATTACAAAATTCCTTATGAAGAAGACATAATGAAGTGTAGTCACTATTGTATTGTAGAAGACAATCAATTTGTTTGCAGAAAGATCAAACTATTTGCCTTTGTGACATGCATTGAGGCATAAATGTTGGCCAGGACACCAGGAATAATCCCCTTACTCTTCTTCGATTTAGTGCTATACGATCTTTGACATCCACTTGATGGAATAGACAGAGTATCAATTGAACTTATTTGAAAGACAGCACTTCTGACAGTGCAGCACTCCCTTACTATTGCAGTGGTGTTAGCCTAGAGTAGATGCTCTAAAATGATAGTCAAAACTCTCACTTTCTAACTTAGAGATAAACATTACACCACTAAGCAAGGGCAGATACTGCACCAAAGAAGTGTAGGTTGGACTGTAATCCAGGATATTTAATTGCAGAAGACCTCCACCCCATCTCCAGACACTATGTACCTACATCCCTATAACTGGTCACCTGATAGGTGAAGTGTTTAACCGTGGTGCCTATGGATACTCTGTGGTCTATCGTTACGTTACAGGGCACACACAACACACTGCCTTCTGGGTGGTTCAAAAAAATTCAACGGAAGCTTCAGGTCAGGCTTAATTGGGACCTCACCCACTACCTTAAACATTCAATCCCTCCACCACCATCGTGACTACAGCAGACACAACCAACAAGATTCACTGCACAAATACACCAAGACTCCTTAGACAACAGCTTCCAAACCAGAGATAGTAGGAACTGCAGATGCTGGAGAATCTGAGATAACAAGGTGTAGAGCTGAATGAACACAGCAGGCAAAGCAGCATCAGAGGAGCAGGAAGGCTGACGTTTTGGGCCTAGACACTTCTTCAACAAGTGTGGGAGGCATCAGTTCTCCTCCAAGTCACACATCATTCTGACTCAATGATCTCGCTGTTCTTTTACTGTCACTGGATCAGAGTTCTGAACTGTCATCACTGTGGGGGTAAAGGCAGCAAATGGACTGCTGTGGTTCGAGGAAATGCTCACCATCACATCCTGTGAATAAATGGGAAAAAGCAACAGAGCAGGAAATAGGAACAGAGAGCACTGGAAGTACTCATTAGTAGGTCTAGCAGCAGTCTTTCCAAGAAGGGTCACGTTGGACTCAACTCTTCCCACAGAAGTTGCCAGATCTGAGTTTCTCCTGCAGTCTTATTTCAGATCTCTCAGCATCTGCAGTGTATTTTGCTTTTAAACACATTCTGTATCCTTCCTGGATTGTAGGCTAACCTGGGTGCAATCACTCACCCAGGCCACTGGAGGAGCTCTGCACGATGGAAGAGATCTTTAAAAAGCTTAAACTTCTGCCTCATTCACACAAAAGAACATTGGAAGTTTTCAGGCAAGAAAAGGAGATAAGAGACAGTTAAGCCGATTTCCATCAATTGCTTATTGAATCCTGCAATGATACAGCTATTAAAAAAAAACGGCACAGTGGCTCAGAGTTTAAAGCCCTTCAATTATTTATGCCTCTTAAATTATTGAGACGCCAACTATAGAAATAGAACAGCACAGGGCAGAGTTTTGTATGGCTCGCTCAATGGCTAAATATCTGTGAAAGCAAGATAGACCAACCTACATAAACCAAATCCAACCATTTAACAAAAAAAGACGATTACCACGTTCAAAGCACAACAAAATCTGAACTTCAGAGAGTTAAACATCCAACGGGGACCGCAATGTAAAGCTACAGGCAGTGAAACCACGCACTCCATCCGATTTTAAGCAAAAGCGAAAATTGTCATGGGGTCGGTCGACTCGCTGCCCTCCGGCTTAACACGGTTCTATTGACAAGTTTCTATTGCCGCGGGGTGGGGGGAAAAAAAGAGAGGCAGTTAGGACTCTGCCAGCGACACGAAAATAGCTCAGTGCCCACTCAGTTATGAGAGTTAACCCTGGGGCCAAATGCAAAAGTAACGCGCCGTAGAAAAAGCGGCTGGCGATTCGTGAGCCGCTCTGGAAGCGGTCCCACTGCATTCACATTACAGACAGGTCGCTGAGGTTATTTGTGGAGGACGGGGTGGGGCGGAGAGTTGCGGCAAAGAGGATATCCACTCCACCGGCCACTTCGTCTCAATTGTAAATCTATCAGGAGGGGGAAAAATGGCAGTAAAACAGAGTTCAGATGAAAAGGTTTTCAAATCCAGCATCAAGGCACGCGCAAGTAATCAAACTAAAAGAGAACACCAACTGACATTACTAAGAAATAAGATATTTCCAGTGCGCACTTTGACTAGGGGCTTGTGCCTTAAAGGAGATATTTTACAAAATACAAGAAAAAAATTAAGTTGCATAATCAGCGCTCGCAAAAAAAATTCCCAAAAAGTTACCTGTAGATTCAACGGCTGTTGTAGAAAGAAAACAGGTAGCAGTACATTGGCTTGAGTACTGCATGCAAATTAAGAAATCTGACTGGTTACAGGAGGTTTTAAGTCGAGATTCAACTCCTCAGAGTTAACAAAATGTTTAAACCATCAAAAAGGAGTTCTGCAACTAATGCATCACTCATGTAAACTACAGCCAGCAACTCAATTTATTTCTGAAAAGTCATTGTACAAACCCTCCGTGAAGAAAACGATTCTCGTCACTAACAAAATATCAATTCTTTCATGTACACATTCAACTATACAAATGGAAACTTATAAGTTCTGTCTAAACAAATTCCTGAATGGACAAATTGTGTTTGCAAATTGAAACGCTTTAAATTGAAAGGCACCAAGGTAGCGGAAATATGGAAACAAAGGCTTTGCGCACAAGTCACAATTTAAAGCAAATAGGAAACTAACAGTGAGAGAAAGGGAAATAGCAAATTTTTCGTTCAACTTCCCAGACAAAACTTTGTAGCTAGTGTGAATGGTTCTCACCTGTTGCCATCACTCGCTGTAACCTGAACCGAACTTCGAGGCGTCACTCAATCCCCAGAACAAAACTTGCGTTGAGTGCAGACAGCGAGGATTGCAGCCTTGCAACAGTACACACCTCCTAAACTCTCATTACCCCCTCTCTCAGTCTCCATGAGTTGGCAAGAGTCCCGTGAGAGGCGTTGTCATATGATAAAACAATCCCAGAGAAAGAAGGCGTTGTTGCCTTTCATAATAGAAACCGCAGTGGGACAGATTGGTACATCCCGCTCAGTTCCTGCTATTAACGTGCTCCTCTGTATGCAAGAACAGACGTGTTCAGGGTCTTCCTCGAGCCTGTCCGACAATCGGGTGAGCAAACAATACCTGCTTCCGACTCCAGCATCTGCAGTTCTTTCTACCCCTGTTGAATATTGGGCAAATTGATGCTATGTCCCTGTTCCTCAGCCATTGTTCCCTCCCTCTCCCAGGACTCTACCTAAGGCTGAACCAGACAGTTCATCATTGGGCATATTACTTGGCCATTAGCTGACCTCCCCATTTTTTCTTTCCTTTTTCAGTGGGATGTGGATATCAGCTGAAGTCTAATCATTATCATGTTATTGTCATAGAATCCATGGAGGCAGGCCATTCGGTCCATCAAGTCCATACCGGCCCTCCGAAGATCATTCCATCTAGACCCATCCTTCTGCCCAATTTCTGTAACTCTGCATTCCCCATTGCTAATCCATGTAACCTACATATCCCTAGATGCTACGGGCAATTCAACGTGATCAATCCACTTAATCTGCACATCTTTGGACTGTGGGAGGAAACCAAAGCACCCGGAGGAAACCCACAGGGGAGAATGTGCAAACTCCACACACACAGTCAGCCGAGGCTGGAATCAAACCTGCATCCTTAGCACTGTTCGGCAGCAGTACTAACTGTTTTATTCATGAAGCCTAGAACACAGTATTCTTTATTAATGGATCTCTCTACTTGTCCTGTCACCTTTAATGACTTATGTGAGATATAGTTATGTTCCTGTAATGCTCAGCACCAATGGCAAAAAGGACGAAGGACCTTCACCTCAATCCAGGTGCCTCTTATTCTCATGGAGACAGCTAAAGGAGGAACCACGTGTAGGCTACTCAGAAGTCTCCCCTCAGGACAATTAAGAAGTGGTGAGGCCTTTGGCCTTAGATGTGTGGGACTTCAAAGTGAGGAGTTTGCACCAATTTCTGGACAGGACCCACCCAGAATATTAGGGCCATCGAGACACCAATGCCCCAGGAGTGCCAGATTGAGATGCCAAAACCAATGCGTTCTGCTGTAGGGCATGCTCCTTCACCCTGGCTGCAGACTCCAGGAATTGCATTGAGCCTTTTAAGGAGGGAAAGGAGGAAGACCTTCTGAGGGTCCATGGGAGGCATTGACTAGAAAAGTCAAATGAGCAAGGGTGACGTGGAAGCCTAATTTCTAGGGTGCATCAGGCATTGCTTCTTAGAGCAGGTCATTACAAAACCTACACACAAACAGGCTGTTTTAGATCTAGTAATATGTAATGATGTAGTTATAATAAGAGATCTATGGTCAAGGATCTTCTAAGGAGGAGGGAATCGCAAGGTAGTAGAATTTCAAATTCAGTTTGAGGAAGAGCAGCTCTGGTCTTAAACCAATGACCTTGGTATAGATAACGGCAGTTATGAAGACTGAGTTGCCTAAAGTGGGCTGGGAAAATCGACTAAGTTAAAGTCAGTGAATGAACAGCGGCAGCCATTTAAGTAGGTATTTCATACCACTTAGCAAAAATTTATTCTGATCAAACATAATGACTTGATGAGAAGTATGAACCACCCATAATTAACTAATGTGGTCAAGGAGAGTAGCCAATTAAAACAAAAGCATGCAAAGCAGAAAAAATTAGCAGGAGGCCAGAGGATTAGGAATTTTTAGGGAACATATGTGGATGACTGTAAAGCTAATAATTAAAGAGGGGAAAAAATTAAAAAGGAAAGTAAATTGGCATGATATATAACAACAACAGCAATAATTTCTACGGGTATATAAAAAGAACGAGAGTTTCCAAAGTAAAGGTAGGACCCTTGGAGGATGCAGTTGGACAATTTACAACAGGAAACAGGGAAATGGCAGATAATTTAAACAAATGCTTTGAATACATGGAGAAAGAAAGGCAGAAACTTTAGTCAGCCTAATATCTGTCATTGGAAAAATGCTAGAGTCCATCAATAAGGAAGAAATAGGAGGGCATTTAGAAAAGCTTAATGCAATTTAACAGAGTCAATGTAGTTTTGTGAAAGGGAAATTTACTTGAGCTCTTTAGGTCTAAAACAAGTAGGGTTGGTAAGGGGAAACCAGTGGATGATACTTATCTGGATTTCATGAGATATTCAATGATGTGCCAGATAAAAGGTTCTTGCTCAAACTGGTATGGTCTTGGGAATAATATATAAGGATTGGTTAATGCACAGAAGACAGTAAGGATAAATAGTCTTTTTGAGGTTGGAACAACGGAATCATTAGAGTGCCACAAGGATTAGGGGCCTCAATTATTTACTGTCTATTTTAATGACATGGAAAAGGAGACAGAGTGTAATTATCCAAATTTGCTTATGAATCTAAAATAGGTAGGATTGGAGGACATGATGAGGACATAAAGAATTTGCAAAAGAATATTGATAGGTCATGTGAGTGGTCAAAAAATTGATGGCTTAATGTACCAAAATTTTGAGGTTATGCACTTTAGTAGGAAGACTCAAAAGACAGCCAAAAAAGTGCAGTGCAGAGGGATTTTGGTTTTCTTGTGCAAGTTCACATGCAGGTGCAGCAAGTAATTAAGGCAAATAGAATTTTGGCCTTTATTGCCAAATAAAAGTGTTGTTACAACTGTACAGGGTGTTGGTGAGGTTGCATCTGGAATATGATATACAATTTTGGTCCCTGCATTGAAAAAAATGTACTGGTTTTGGAGGCTATTCAAAGGACATTCACTAGATTGATATCTGAGATGAAGGGATTAACTAATCAGATACAGGCTTGACCTTTATACATGAAAGTTTACAAGAATGAGGGGTGGTCTTATTGAAACATATAAGGTTTTGAGGGGGCTTGACTTAGTAAATATTGAGAAGATGTTTCACTAGTGAGGGAATCTCAGACTAGGAGACATAGTTACAGAATTAGTGGACACTTGTTTAGAATTGAGGTGGGAAGGAATTTCTTCTCTCAGAGGGAAATGAACGTCTGATTTCTCAAACCCAAAGAGTTTTGGAGGCTAGATGACTGAAAACATTTAAAGAGGGGTAAACAGAAATTGAAATATCAGGGGGTTGATGGATATGCTGACCTGGCACAAGAGAGGAGTTGAAACCAGGGGCATGTCAGTCATGACCTTGCTGAATGGTGGGGTAGGTATGAGGAGCTGGATGGCCTACTCCTTCTCCTATTCCTTATGTTCGTACAGTATTGTGTTCGTCCAGGAAGTCCAAAGTTATCTCCCAGCTTATAGCCGATGTGGTATGCTCTCAGTACTAAGCTCAATGCATGAAACCTCTTATATGGCCATGAACTGCTGCAGATGGTGTGAAAATATGTTGAGCGCCTAGACAGAGAGAGTCTCAAACAAACAGATGCACAAATGTTAAAGTCAACAACAACAAGATAGCCTTCTTCGCCTCTGCCACCAATGTGCCCTCATTAAGTCTTCCTTTTGCACTCCCCAGTTCTGCAGCTGGGGTGGAAAGAGCCTGCTCTAATGTAAACGTAGAGCCCCAGACATTTGATTGGGCAACTCAGGGGTTGTTTCTGTCTGGACAGGCAGGATGTGCCGAGAATAATCTTGTCAGAGGCACGTTGACCCTCCTTAGCTTGAGGAGGTTGGAGGATATCAGGCAAGATGGAAATTGGGGTGGGGGAGGGGGAGCTGGCCACCACTGTAGTGCCAAAAACAGAAACTGCTAAAGGGTTTGTGATCCATCACTGGCAGGGGTCTCCTGGGACCACATAGCCTTCTTGTGAGATGAGGACAACTGAGAGTGAAGTCAAGGTTCTCTACACCCCACCTCCTGTAGCCATGTCTTCAGTCCTGAGGACAAAGGGCTAGGGTGATGGAGTGTGTGCCTATTCAGCAGCACCGGAAGGTGCTGTCTCTCACTATATGGAGCTACCAACCAGTCCCTGGAGTCAGATAAACGGTTGGATGATTCACTGCACTGATGCAACTCCCGTGGAAGAAGGGTCATTAGGTTCCAAGTGGCCGTGAGCTCACAGGGATGTGCCAGTGCCCTGGGGAGTTTCTCCCTAACCCAGCTGCGGAGCTGTCACACTGAGGTGCTCATCAGATTTAGTACCCACACTCTCTGTGCCCACGGTTCCCACCAAGGTCATGGAGACATACAGATGTGAAGCACGGAAACAGACTCTTCGGTCCAACCTGTCCACGCCAACCAGATATCCTAATTTAATCTAGTCCCATTTGCCAGCATTTGGCCAATATCCCTCTAAACCCTTCCTATTCATATACTTATCCAGATGCCTTTTAAATGTTGTAATTGTACCAGTCTCCACCACTTACTCTGGCAGCTCATTCCATACAAGCACCATTCTCTGTGTGCAAAAGTTGCCCCTTAGGTTCCTGTTGAATCTTTCCCCTCTGATCTTAAAGCTATGCCCTCTAGTTTTGGACTCTCCTACCCTGGGGAAAAAGACCTTGACTATTGACCCCATCCATGCCCCTCATGATTTTATGAACCTTTATAAGGTTATCCCTCAGCCTCTGACACTTTAAGGAAAATAGCCCCAGCCTATTCAGCCTCACCCAATAACTTAAACCTTCCAACCCTGGCAATATCTTTGTAAATCTTTTCTGAACACTTTCAATTTTAACAACAACTTTCCTATAGCAAGAAGACCAGAATTGAACACAGTATTCCAAAAATGGCCTAACCAATGTCCTGTACAGCCGCAACATGACCTCCCAACTCCTATACTCAATGCACTGACCAATATAGCCAAGCATACCAAATGCATTCTAGCTGGAACTCCACTTTCAAGAAACTGTGAACCTGTACTCCAAGGTCTCTTTGTCCGGCAATACTCCCGAGGACCTCACCATTAAGTGTATAAGTCCTGATTTGCCCTACCAAAATGTAGCCCCTCTGTCAGCATCAGAGCTGGTGGG